GACACTGGCCTGGCCGTTCACCTTTGCCCCCCGACCCCGCCGCTGACTCACAAGCGGCCCAGGGCCCTGCGTGGGGGCTGGGCAGAAGCCCCCTCCAGGGCCGCCTGCCCAACCTCCTGGTGTAATCTCCATCCCTGCCCTCTCACTGTCCCATCTTTCACTCCCGCCCATCCGTGTCCCCTTCCCTGTTGGCCTCGTCCTTGTCTCTGTCCCCATTTCTCGCCCGGTCCCCTTCCCATCCTCTAGCTGTTTCTTCACCAGCTCCCTCCTCCCGCTAGACTCTCCCCTGCCCCGGGAGTCTTCAGCTGTCAGCTGTTGCTATGCGCAGAGGCTGAGGCTGAGGTGGTATGACCACACCTAGACAGTGAGAGAGAGGAACTCGCAAAGAGACAGGCCTATGACCCAGTCACCAACACACATGCCTCGAGGCATGTCCGCAGAAGGCCAGCCACACTTAGGGAAAGTAAGTGTGTACGAAGAGCAAAACACATTGACCGAGCCTGGCATGCACAGACACGTGCACACCTAGAGGTGTACCGACACATGCCGATGTACACATTTGATTTACACATACAGGAGTAAGCACACAGTGACAGAGACAGACAAATGCACCAACACACAAGTAGGCCCTACCAGATAGAGCACCCTCCACCTCGCCTTAGCCAGGAGGTGAATATTCAGAGATGGACACACACACACACCCACCACCACACACGTATACACTCGTACTAGCAGTCCAAAAGCCAAGCTGAGCCATATGCAAAGAAGCAGTGACAGGCACACAAAACAAGAGTCAGGGAAAGGACAGACATAGTGAAACCGAGGAAGACAGAAGCCAGGAAACAGGGACTTGTGTGCAGGCACAGCAGAGAGGAGAGAGGCAGGTAGAAGCGCTGCTGTCCAGGCCAAGGCCAGACAGCCCAACCAGAGTCCCAGGCAGGGTTCCAAACACAGGGGTGCTGTGACGGTGGGGAGGGGCAAGGGCACACCTGGGCCTAGTTTGCCCGGATCAGAAGCCACTCACCAGGTCTTGATCTTTAGGAGGCCTGGCTTGTCCCAACACTCCTCCTTTTGCCAGTCTCTGCTCTCTCCAGTTACATATGTATGTGTTCACACAGGCACCCTCGCGTGTGCATACACACCTCCTGTCTCTGGATCTTAGCCTCTGCCCTTGTATCTCATGCGTAAAGCATAGTCTCTCATTTGGTCAGCATCTGCCCAGTCTCTGGCTCTGCCCTCGGGCCCCCTCCCGCCTTGCTGAGCAGGAAGTCTGGGAGGAGTGCGTCCTGATGAACCCTGTCCTGGA